TAATATTAAAATTAATATTAATTTTTATATATTTTTACATATTTACTATAAAAAAACACTCTTAAAACATAAGTTAAAAAATCATTTAATTGCTAACTGATTTTAAAATCACATCATAAAAAATAATAACTTTTAAATAATTTTGTGTGTCCGTCCTTGTGAAAATATTGATGGGCCATATATATCCACCCCAAGATTTCATTTGATAAAATGGAAAAAAATCGCCATATTTTTCAACGTCAGCCCCACGTGTTGGGATTCTAAGTGCTGATGCGGACTGGGGAGTTCGACATTATGAGTTGGAGGTGCTTATCTGAACATAGTGAACTGTGCCCAAGGACACGGCCACATACAACCGAAAAGATGACAAAATAAAAATGAGCAGTGCTAGGGGCACTCGCTTCCTCCACTCTCCGGCCAACACTTCCACTTTCATTGGGCCACGTAAGCTTTCTCAGAGTTTTTGAAACGCGACCTTTTCGATCTAAATAACGTGGCCCAATAAAAATGGAAGTGTTGGCCGGAGAGTGCAGGAGGCGAGTGCCCCTAGCATAGCTCAATAAAAATTTAAAAGCCCATTTCATGACAAAGTTTGCATGTGATTCTCTCTCTGTTTTTGTTAATTCTGTTTCTGACTACGGCTTTAGGAGCAAAGGAGGGGTGGATAGATAGATAGATAGAGACAGTTACCGGTACCGGATATGGCGACGGACGTCAGCGTGCTGCCACATGCCTCCGTCGAGAACGGAGCTGCTTGCTGCAAGAAGGGACCTGGTTACGCCACTCCCCTGGAGGCCATGTCAGGTCCCAGAGAAGCTCTTATCTATGTCACTTGTGTCTATTCTGGTATTTCTTTTTTTCATTCCTTTAATTTCTCTGTTTCGTTTTAGTTCAGATGAGAAGATGAATCCATTTAATTTCTCTGGAAATGATGATATATATATATTTTTTAAGTAAAACCTCGGATCAATATGGTCAATACTCAGATGGGGATGGACTTCACATCCATTTAGATTTGCTAATCCTTTCTTTTTCTTCTTGAATTTTAATTGCCTGGAATAGTAATTTAAAAAGAGTGAGTTGTTTTCAAGGTTAATTTCTTTATTTACACAGGGACTGGAAGAGAGAAACCAGATTACCTAGCTACAGTGGATGTGGATCCAAGCTCACTTACTTATTCCAAAGTTATTCACAGGCTGCCTGTGCCATATTTAGGTGATGAATTGCACCATTCAGGGTGGAATGCATGCAGCTCTTGCCATGGAGATCCTTCTGCAAACCGGCGTTTCCTAGTTCTGCCTTCGCTGATGTAAGAAATTTCTTTTCTTTTTTAACTTTATTTATCCTGAATTGGTTGTTATCATTTCCTTAACGAATTGTTTCTAGAAGATGGATGCATGAGTGATTGGGTTTCCAAGTTTGTGCAAAGTTGTTAAAGATTTTTGCAATTCAATTTCTTATAAGTTCTTTTGTATCTTTCAGTTCTGGGCGTATCTATGTTATTGATACTCTAAAAAATCCGAAGGCTCCGTCTTTGCATAAAGTTGTTGAGCCTGCAGATATTGTACAGAAAACAGGCCTAGCATATCCACACACATCACATTGCCTTGCTTCTGGTGATATATTGGTTTCATGCCTTGGTGATAAGGATGGAAATGCTGAGGGAAATGGATTTCTTCTGCTTGATTCTGAATTCAAAGTGAAAGGAAGGTATGACATGAATTGCAAAGATTATGAAGAATTATTAATGAGAACCAATTGTGGTTAATCTCTTCACTTACTTTATTTTTTAGATGGGAGAAACCAGGGCACAGTCCCTTGTTTGGCTATGATTTCTGGTATCAACCTCGACACAAAACAATGATCAGCTCATCATGGGGAGCCCCTGCTGCCTTCACCAAGGGTTTCAATCCTCAGCATGTCTCAGATGGTCTGTATGGAAGGCATCTCTTTGTGTACAGCTGGCCTGATGGTGAACTGAAACAAACATTAGATCTTGGTAATACAGGACTCATTCCACTGGAGGTAGTACTTTTAAAATTAAGCTTCTGCTTTGGGCACAATATTTGTGTTCTGTAGATCCGTTGATGATCAATCCTAAAGTGCTGCTGTATTCTTTGTTATAAAACCGTGATTAGTCCTTGAGTTGATTTATTGTCTGTCTCATTTTTTTGTAGATAAGGTTCCTCCATGATCCTTCTAAGGACACAGGGTTTGTTGGGTGCGCCTTAACAAGTAACATGGTGCGGTTTTTCAAAACCGCAGATGGATCATGGAGCCATGAGGTATGTATAAGATAGCAATGCATTGTGCTCGCCTACAAACTTGTTGTTCCTCCTTCAAGTCTATAGGATTGACAAGTATGATAAATTCTTATTAACTGCTGCAGGTGGCAGTATCTGTGAATCCACAGAAAGTGCAAAACTGGATTCTTCCAGAGATGCCAGGGCTTATTACTGACTTTCTAATTTCTCTTGACGATCGTTTTCTCTACTTTGTGAACTGGCTCCATGGAGATGTACGACAATATAACATTGAGGACCCTAAAAATCCTGTCTTGAAAGGCCAGGTATGGGTTGGGGGATTGATTCAAAAAGGAAGCCCCGTATTTGCAGTGGCAGAAGATGGCAGTTCATTTCAGCATGAGGTTCCTGAGATCCAGGTCTTTTCAATTCCCCCTTTCTATTTCTTTAACTTGCCCTGCACTAAAAGCTAACCTACTTTATGTTTTCCGTTTACAACAGGGGCATCGTCTTAGAGGGGGACCTCAGATGATCCAGTTAAGCTTAGATGGGAAACGGCTATACGTCACCAACTCTCTCTTCAGTGTATGGGATAACCAGTTCTACCCTGAACTTGCCGAGAAGGGATCACACATGTTACAAATCGATGTTGACACAGAGAAAGGTGGTCTTGTGATAAACCCAAATTTCTTTGTGGACTTTGGAGCTGAACCAGATGGTCCTTCCTTTGCCCACGAGATGAGATACCCTGGTGGTGACTGCACTTCAGATATATGGGTTTGAGCATTTTTGTGGTGAATTGTCACTTGTATTGTAATCCAGTACTTTGTAACAATCCATCCCATTCGTATATTGCGGTAGGATTATCTTGGATGGCATGGCTAGTTAATAGAGAGTTGGAGTTGCATAATCACACAATTAAGATAGTATTTTGTTTTGTGTTTTGGGTATTACAGCTTTTGAACCTCTTGAAAAATAGAGCGGTAATACTAAAACTTGCTGAGACACCCCCTATTGACACTCTGTTAGCCTAAAGCATGTAGAGAAAAATATTGATAGCTAGCTGTAAGTGATAGGTAAATTTCTATCTCTATTATGCAGCTTCACAACAAATGAAGAGAAGATGACAAGTTGACAACTCCGTGAACGAAAAGGGGGTTATATTTTCTATAAAAAAGTGAAGGGTAATATGTGCAACGATTGATGGAGAAGGAAGGGGAAGACCTACGTCTCCATCAATAGTTAAAAGAAGAAGAAATAGAAATGCACTTCGCCTGTAAGTTACTACAACACATGAACCAAAGCAACCTCATTAATGACCTTCAGAACGTATCTCAACGCTTAAGACGCAGTGCCCTACGAGAAGGGAAGATGAGAAACTCGGCCCCACAAAGCCATTGGTCATCACATGTTTCGCAAAAGAAGATTCATGACTAGAAAACAACAAATGAACAAAAAGCACAGCTATCGTTGTGGACACTCCCCACGTAATTAGTACTTGACAATGATTTTCAGAAATAAAAGTGGCATTGCGGTACCAAAGAGAAGAGCGCTTCCTTTCTCAGAGGTGAAAAATGAAGAACAAGTCGAAGAGAGCAGATTTCATGCCTCAACTTCTTCCACCGACACTGCTGCTGCTGCTGCTATTGTTTCAGAACCCTTGTTGTTCCCACTGTAGAGTTGCCGATGCAGAGGTCGCCTTTTACCGTGGAATGTGCAATGGTTCCATGGCGGAATGTGGGGAGATTGGAGAGGAATTCCCAATGGAGTCTGAGACAAGTCGAAGGATTCTTCAGGCATCCAAACGCATTAGCTATGGAGCGCTTAGTAGAGATCGAGCAGCTTGCGGTGCCAATTGTAAACCAGGTGTTCCTTACGCAAACACATTGACAAGGCCGTGTACGAAGATTTATCAGTGTAGAAGTGGAGGCAAAAGGTAAGAAGATATAATGTATCCTTGTAACTTTCATTTCAACATATTCTGCCTTTTTGTTGAACTGTAAGTGTGGAATTCCTTGTCATTCTATAATATCCTAGTTGTAATAAATTCATAACAGGAAGGAATATCATCCTGTTCTATGTTAACGCAGAAAAATAAAAAATAAAATTATAAGCTTGAATTCAGTATCATCATTGGGGTTAGGTGAAGTGCGGCCCCTCTGCTTATCCCTAATGCGACTTCCACTTCCACTTCCACAGTTCCACTACCACCTTTTAGCCCCAAAAAAAAAATCTTGGTACTCTCTATAAAGTAAGAAGAATAATAATTGAAGGAAACCTGACCAAAAAGCAGAACATAAAAAGAGAGATCTACCATGAAGTACTCCGTCTTCCTCCATATCAGCTTCCTTCTGTTCTTCAGCCTGACCCATCTTAGCAACTGTGCCTTCTCCTCTGTTACTGATGCATTCACAACCTGCAATGGATCAATAGCAGAGTGCAATGAAGAGCATGAGATGCTAATGGAATCAGAAATCATCCAGAGGTTCTTAGAACAAGGGAAATACATATCACCTGGTGCTCTGAAAAGAGACCAGCCTGTTTGTGACGGTCCTGGTGGTCAGGCTTACAGCAAAGGCAGCTGTCTTCCACAACCATCCAATCCTAAAGAGCGAGGGTGCTCTAGGTACTATCAGTGCAGGTCTGGTTAATGATCATTGTGTGTTTTCAGTGTTAGCTGTAGTGAAATGTTTATTGCCTTCTTAAGAGTCCTAGAGATCTGTATCTTCATGTTTTGTGCTTTGATGTGTGTCCTTCTGTGGTTTCAATGAAAAGGGAGTTGGGAAATGTTACCTGACAATTGCATCTCCAATTATGCTTTAACTAATTACAAGATTTTCAGATCATTTTAAATCTGGAATTTTAACAAGCAAAGAAATGATTCCTGACATTATTTTGTGATTCAATCATTAACATCTCCACTTGCTGCCATTGACCATACCACTAGTCCAATACAATTTTCATGTTCATATTGCCAAGTCAAATGATATTATCAGAACCACAAAAGTGGAAAGACTACAACAAAAAAATCATGATCATAGAAATAAATAATAAAAAACAATAAAAAATAAAAATGGTGTAGGGATAATACTAGTACTAGTCAGTACTAAAAACACATAATTATGATCACTGCTTTATTAAGTGAAATCCAGCTAAAACACATGTACAAACGATGACTTTTGAAACTTGCCCCACAAATAACATGTTAATTTGTGCCATATGGCCGATTAAGTCAGCTATTAAGTTTTTCCAATAATCAACGATGCTTACATCCACAAACTTTTGAAAGTCAGAGAAAAGCTATTATGTTCTGGAAGTTGCTATTACAGAGAAAACCTATATGAAATACAGAGAAAACATACATAAAATACAGGGAAAGATACATGACACGCAAACTGATCACTTCCTTCTCAGTTTTACTTAAACTGGAGAAGGGCTATTTCAGTGGCATAACAAACCACACAGAAGAAGCCCCTTAAAATTGTCTAAGTTGGTAAACTCTGTGGTTCCTACTGTGAAACTGAGATTATTGACCAGGCTACTTTAAACTTCCTTGAGCATAATACTATATATTGTGCGAGAAAAAGGAGATTAACTAAGTGAAGTATACTTTAATATTTCTCCAAAATGAAGACTAACTGAAAATAAAACAAGAATCAAAATAAAAACATTTGCATCCACAATGTCCGTCATATACTGTACCAGTAGTTGAAAGTGTGATCCTTCCATGTCATATGCCCAAACATCAACATGCAGTGTGAAATCCATGCTGTAATTATATGCAAACAGAAACTCTGGATCCACTTAAATGGCAGTTTCCACACCTCTCAAACATTAGAAGAACCATCGGCAACTTCAGCAACCTGCCTCATGGCCATCATCACACCTGCAGGAGAAAACAAGATATTTAATCACTATCCTCTTACCATGTGAATATCTCATACTCTACCACACCAGACTTGACTGCTCCAGAAAATAAACTAATTACTGGAAGCATATTTTGCACAAACAGGAGATGTTTGTGTAACTGCACACATCATCCCACAGTCAACCAAGTCAAATTACGTATTAGCTTAAATCCTAATGCACTAGCTTAAGCCTTTGCACTGACTGACATGTTGGACTAACAAAAGGTTTAAAACTTTCTGGTTTTATGTTGATGCACATGCTAGTGGTATCATGCATGACTGCACACATTCATATGTATGTGTTAGAGTGATGATTCAGTAACTACAAAGGACATTGCCCTTTTAGAGGAAAGAGATTCTATGTCAAGAATCCTCATTCTTCTAATGGTTCCCAATAAAGGGAATTCCTATTGCAGAGCTCTAAAGCATGAGATTTGCTACTAGTAAGGACCAACCTTATACAAAAAGGTGGTAGCCTTGATTAGTAAAGAAAAAAGGTCATATCCTTAATTTAGAAAATTTTTGAAAGGTAATATCCTTAATTATACCAAATCTCTCTAAAGCATGCTGTATTATCCAATATTCTTATAAAAACTCAACAATCATGATGCTAAAGACTTGCTTGCATTTACATTGTCGAAACGTTAAGTTTAATATGCACAAACTGTGCCTTAAATGTATATGACTATTTGTATTGTAGCTGCCCATTCCGAACCTCGGTGCGGAGAGCTTTAACAAGGTCCGGTGAACCTTCCCACAGCTTAAGCCCCCCAGAGCAGCAAATTACATTTCATCCTTGAACTTGTGCAAACCAAGATGTATCTCAACATCCCCATCAACCTTTACAAGAACTCCCTGTCAACCAAAATACAGAAATGAACTCCCCAACATTAAAGGTATTTAATAATTTCACGGGCATCCCTACACTTTTTCTCATGCAGATCCACCTGAAAAACACTTTTCTACAATTATAATGAGGGCATTATATTTTAAATTAAACATAGCATTTATAACTTAATTTCAGCATATGGGCATCTCAGAGACTAACTTAAAGGTCAATTCTTTATTCATTACTCTCTGAACTACAACTAAACACCCCCCCCCCCCCCAACATTAAAGGTATTTAATAATTTCACGGGCATCCCTACACTTTTTCTCATGCAGATCCACCTGAAAAACACTTTTCTACAATTATAATGACGGCATTATATTTTAAATTAAACATGGCATTTATAACTTAATTTCAGCATATGGGCATCTCAGAGACTAACTTAAAGGTCAATTCTTTATTCAT